TATATATATATATATATATGCATCTAACCTCACATAACTGATTTTCCTGCAAATAAGGAAACTGGAAACATCCTCTGACACTATCCTGTTTAAAGGCAAGATAGTGGTTGTGAGTTGAAAGGTGTGTTTTGTGCACTGAAGCTCAGACCGATGTAAATCTCGCTGTGCGTGTTCTCAAAGTTAGAAAATGCGAGTCAAACATCAGCGAAGCATGTCGACAAGATACTACTGCTGGTGAAGTGATAATCTGATTTTTATTTTCTTCCGCTTGATCTCCTTTCAGATCTTTGGAGCCGATGATGTGGTGTGCACAAGGATCTATGTACGAGCATAGAAGAAGTCCTGCAGAAGTCAAATTTCCTCCAACAAATAATTGCATTGTCTGAACTGTCAGTGTGAGAAATTTCACATAAAAATCAACATGTTAAATGATTTGTTTTGACATTCAGTGTTTTGCATTTTCATGAAAATCACAATTACTACTTTATTCCTTTTTGTATATAATTTTTCTAAAATTGGAAATTAAATGATCAAAGGCGTTTTTTTTTCTGTTATATATAGTTCAATTTATGCTTTCGATCTTGAAAAAAATGACAAAGAAATGGTGGACAAAAAAAAGCAGAGCACTAAATATTGCAGATATTTGCAGATTTTTAAAATAACAAGTTGCATACAAATGAAAAAAGAAGTGGTCAACTGAGCTTGTCTATTTAAAGGATAGTTTAATGCCAAACACCATACTAACACTCATGTACAACATCATAAAAGTCAAGAGAAGAAACACATTAAACGAGGTACAAACCATGTCTTTATGTACAATCAGCTCTGCGGGACTTCCTGTGGTATTCCATAATAAACAGCAAATATAAAAATAAAAACCCAAGTAATAAACTGTTCCAAGATTGTCTGTAGCTGGTTAGGTTACTGACCATTGCCTTAAATGGAGATCAGGAAAATGTTGAGGGATGAAGTTTTGTCCGGCCGCTTCTTTTATTTTCCATCCTGCTCATGTTATGATCTGGCTGTTTCCCTAAAGTTAATGTTGCTCGTATGTCAATATCCACGGCTTTCAGTGTGATGGATACCTTCCCACCTACACTATCTACAGAGCCAATTCCAGTTTTATTAACTGCAGAGGGGAAAAGGCAACAAATCCTTAGTTTACATCCCTCTTCTAAGGGAATACAACATTCATATTTGCATTTCATCAAGAAATACAAACTGATAGCTTCGATAAACTGCGGCTGAAGGAATTATTGCTTGCTCGTTTTCTTAATTCTTAAACTGTACACAAGTCACATGGCTGACATTCACATATAGACTTACTATACGTCAGTGTTCGCTGTCAACACAGGGTATAAAAAATAAACAACTTATGTACAGTTTTCATAGGGGACACACTGTGAGCTCACTGAACCTGTCAAACAGATTCTAACCATTTGGTAAAATTTAAATACAAGAAAAAGTTGACAGTACTGGTAGGACTCCAGTATTTTGAAAAACGGACATATACTGTACTTTCAAAAAGGAGAAATTGCTGCTCAGCTACATTCAATCATCTTAAAACCACAAGTGACAACGATGCCAAAGACCGAAGGTAGAAATGCGCAGAAACACATAAAAGGGTAGTTTTTCTACTAAACAAAGACTTTAGGGACAACACATTCAACAGACCACAAAAGAAAGATCTCTAACTAACATCCTTTGGTAAAAAACAGTTAAAACTTAGCATTGTTTAATAAACTTCTCTGCAGTCTCTACCAAAAGATTGATGCTATGAGTGTGTTAATGTAGGCTACACATCAATGACATCAGATAAAAAAAAATTCTAGATATAAACAACATATTTACATGTGTTTGGGCGGTCATAAATTATTACTCGATACACACAGCTGGCATTGTACTGATGCCGAGCATCTACCCAGCTGTCGCCAGAGATGCTGAAGATACTATATATATATATATATATATAAAAACACACACACACATATATAGTGCCTTATTGCACCTTTATCACCAAGAGGAAAACATTCACAGGCTATACAGTTTACAGCTGGAAGTCAGATAAAAGACATTTTAGCAGAACAGGTGGTTGTTCTTACTAAAACTGAGGTTTGTTTTTATTTCCTGTAAAAAGATGAGGTGGTCCTCAAAGAAAACACTTATTTCACTGTTAAGAGGCTGAGTTTTAGTTATGAACTGATTAACCAGGTTATTTTATTAACTGTGAATTGAAAAAAAGATTTAGTGAGGAGTGTTTTCTTTGTATATTAATCTCATATAAAAATCTGCATTTATTCTAATAATGGGATTCCTGACACAGGTTGGTTTTTTCCAATATAGTGACAAAACCTCAATTTTACATTTGTTGCAGAATTTGCAGTAAAACCTCGAAAGTTAGGACAAAGTTCCTGAATCAGTTCCAACACATCTGTGGAAAATGTACATCTCATTTAAATTGTGGATTTTACAACCCCCAACGATTTTGGCAACTGAAACCAGTAACAGCAGGTTGGAAGAATCCACATGGAGCTACTGTATATATATTTTTATGTATATATGAAGTCATCACTGGCAGTTTGATGTGTGAGGACGTTCACAGTTTATCTTTCTATAAGAGAGATTACAGTGTCCTGTATTTCACCCGGTACTTGTTAATGTTGAGATAATGGAGAACCTCAGGGCTGCAGGTGGTGGTGCAGGACAACAGGCCTTCTCGTGCATCTCCCATCAACCACTTGCGGCTGACGGCAGCCATGTCGCTCGTCACATGCTCCTTGGCCCAGGTGTCCAGCCAGGCGTGGAAGCGTCTGTGCAGGCGTGTGTTGACTCGCTGGTGGGACTGAAAGAGACGTCGACCAGAAGAACCCAGCTCAGCTTTTGGGACCAGTTCATAATACAGCTCATTTATTCAGGTAGTATAATATCAAGGTGACAAAATGTATCCGTGCACTGGACTGTTGAAAGGTGAATGTGGACGTAGCTGTTCTGACACCAAAAGTGATGTCTCTTTTGAATTTTGAATCTACTGTAGGTGATCATCCACATTGACTAGGGGCATTGTATGACCACAGGATAAATGATGAAGGCTTCTTGTAAGCAGTAAAGCTAAAAATAAACTGTTAACCAATCGTATAAAGTATGACCTGTGACAACGTTTCTCCAGTCTGCTTATTTTAAACATGTATAACAGAAATTAGTCGAGAATGATAAAAGTGGAAACAACCCACCACTGACAACTTCTACTAATTTGTAAAGAAGAGTTATTATTAGAAAAGAAAACACAAATGTTCCTTTATACTACACCTAAATACATTATTTAGCAGGTGTAAATTTAAGATTACACTTGAATGAATTCTATATTACTGGGTTTTGGAATAAAAGTCTCAATTACTTTACTTTTGTAATGTTGCTGAATAATAAAAATCATGTAACTGCAGAAATCTCTGCCGAAATCCAATAAGATGATCTGTCGTTTCAGCAGATTTAAGGGAAATCTGATAAGAAAAACAGATCACTACTGGATAGTGTTCGCTTTAATTACGCATTGCTAATTGTTGATAGCAGTGTGAAATCGTTATTATTGTCTGAGCGTACCTGATGAGCCCGTGTGAGCGCCGTGTGCCTGTACATATAATCTTCTGACTTGCAGACATAGACCATCTTGTAGGAGTTGAGTTTGAACATGCACTCCATCTTAAGCTCACTGTTGCCGTCGTGCGACTTGTCCAAAGGGACCTTGGTCATCCTCTCCTGTTGCAGTTGCTCCCATCCCCTCTGGCACTTCCTTATCCGTCTCAAATTCCTGAAAGCCGAAACAGATCGACAACCATGAATACTGCGGACTGATCCCTGAGAAATTCTTCTGATTACTCCACACATCAAAAGGGGTGCATCACGTTTACAGGGAAAGTTCGCACAAATTTCTAAAATCTATCAACAGTTATATTTACATTTGAGCACGTTATATATGGTACAATTTTGTGTCTGACAGCATGCGCTGTATGATTTTAGGGGCTGTGGTCAGGCACAATACACATGACTTTAAGCAAATTTGAGAACAATATAGTCAAATTTGAGAGGACTGTCCCTTTAAACAATTATTTTTTAAACCCATGCATTGCAACTCACCGAGTAATAGAATTAGATAGGGAGTCAAATCATTCGTGGGAAATGTGGATCTATAAGAGCAGCAGAGGCAGCAGTCGTAATATTTCTGTACAGTGCACTTCCGTTGCACAGTCAGCCACATAGTTCGAATCTAAATATGCTTGGCAAACAAATATTTCTCTTAATTGGAAATTGATCCTGATTTTGTGCAGGTAAGAAAAATACAAATATTCACCCCACCTGAATGAAAGTTTTAAATGTGTACTTACCACTGAGGGTACAGGTGAGCGGGGACTGAAACCATGAAGCATATTTTTGCATTCAGGGCTCCACATAAAAGACATGACAGTGAGGCCAATTTCAAGTAAAAACTGTTAGAAACAAACACTAGAAAATTGCTGCCTGATCGGTGACCAATCCAAAATATGAGCTGAGAATACTTTGATGTGCACAAACTTTCACCAACAATGTACAGAGTGTTATGATCATGAGATGAAGACCCAACACAACTGGAAAAGAAACTGCTGGATTTTTTTTTTTTTTACTGCCATTGAAGATATTTGTGAAGTCTTTTGACCTCTTGTGCTGCTGATCTCTCATAGATTTAATGGAGAAAAAAAAAGAAAAAGGACAAGATGTGGGTGAGCCCACTGATAAATCATAGTCAAGTGCCAGATTTATGCAATGGGTTAAATAAGAGAAAACTAAGAACAGGATTTTATTTGCGCTCTAAAATTCCTTTTGAAATGTTTATGGGAATGGACAGCCATCTCAAAGAAACAAAATATAAATCAAAATCAAAAAGCAATGAAAGACAGGCTTTATGTGACACTCAACTGGGGCTTTAAGAGCGAAAACAACCACGCATCCATGCACAGCTCTGGGGTGTCAGGAAAGAAATACACCAACATGAACATACAATTTAGACAATCATTTTATTTACAAACCCTACTCCTCTGTACAAGTGTTGCAGATAATGTGCTTGACCAGAGTTTTTAAAAACTTATGAGCACTAATCTCTGTCAAACCAGTGGAAAAACCTCACCCACAACAAAAAGTTGCAACGGGAGTGCACTGTTTCCACCGAAAATTATTACAAACATAACACTGAGTATAACAGACTTAAACAAATGGACATTTGAACATTTACATTTGCAAACAGTGATTAAGTCACATACAGGACCTTTGATCTGAGTACAATCACAAACAAAGGGCATGATAAGGTAGAAAAGGAAACCATGACTTCACTGTTCTCACTTAACAAAGTCTCTCAGGTCCAACACAAGAGCTTCAGTCTCTCAAACTCAGGTCAAAGACAGTAGAAAAATTAAATTAAAATGAAAAAGGTGGAACCCATTTGTTTTGCTTTCAGTTTGTGCATTCAGTGACTTTTGTTCTTGAGTTACACAATGGAAATCATCATTTAAATTCAATACAATGTGAATAATCAAACCAAATAATTACTTTTAGCTGTTTACTAAACCCATGATCAAGCCAAAACCATTTTAAAAAACCTTACTGTTAATAAATAAAATTCCCATTAAAAAGGAACTGAACCAGTTAATAAATAAATTCCATTTTTAAAAAGATGGCCATGTAAAGTGCAATCTTCCCATGTGAGGCAGAGGTCAGAAACTGAAAAAGTTGGTTCACGGCCGATGAGATTCTTAACAGGAGGGCATTCAGGCACTGCAAGCACTTCACTGTAACTGTGGAGTTACTCTTTTTAAATTAACCTTCTCAAATCATCTTTGTTTTTCCGTTACTAAAAAGGAAGAGCTCTTATGACCAAAATGTGTGATTAGCGAGATCTTCCTAAGTCAGGCTTGTGCAGAAGTGCCACTGTTTCTATCTCTGAAAAGGAGTTGTATTTGGCCGCTGGTTTGGCTTGTCAACAGTGGAGTGGCTGCTCGGCTGACTAGAGCCTCAGGACAGAAGCTTAAAGTGTGCAGACAAGAGGGAGACATGGCTGGGGCCTCACCTGGGGAGGAACACCGGCTTCTGGGCAAGATGCTCACGCAGCTCGGGGGATGCAGAATCTGAGTTCAGGTATCTGCCCACGTAGTCTGACCACCTCTGTGGAGGACAGAGCAGAAAAGAAAAACATAAGCACATATTGCATGATACAATAGCTTACAGGCATTTGGAGCCTAAACCAGACTTGTAGAGCCTGATCGATATATATCGGTAGGCATTATTGACCCATCGCAGACATATTGTGTTTATGTTAGTGGGTATGAAAACTGTCAGAAAAAAATTCATAAATAAAAATACATAAATAAATAAATACATACAAAATTGTGTCACTGTAAACTTTATCCAGCAGAGTGCGCTGCAATTTACAATATTGGGGCAAGCAACAGAGAGTAAGAGAAGAAACAGCTCTTGTTATGTTGTATGTCTAGAATTAGTTGACAATATGTATGTTAATCCATATCAGTAATCAGTGAAGTTTCCCCTTTAAAAATCGGTCTCTAGAGACTAGTGGTGATAGCCTTTGGTAATAAAGATCACATATTCCAAATTTCAGTGTCCCCATTAGTGTTAATACAATACTGTTTAGAGCATATAAGTGGTCAACATGAGCATATCACAGATTTCAGACATTTATGTCAGCCAGTAAGTAACATAAAGTAACAGTACAGGAACCCCAAAGACATAATTACTGCTGGTTAAAAACAGAAACCAAACTACAGTAAAAAGCACTTTAAAAAACAACTTTTCTTTATGGATCATTATCAAAAGTACTGTTGCAATATGTTCTCCTGAAAACACAGGTATCATAACTCATTTCTTTAATTACCTTACCCAATAAGGTTGCAGTTAACCAGGTGATCAGGAATTGCTTCAAAGACTTACATTTTAATTAATGATCAAAATTATTGGTGATTCATTAACCACTAATTGTTGCTGCAACAATAAAATATATTAATAACAGTCATATTGAGTGCAGAGCTGTTACTGTATGTAGTTACGTAGGTGTAGCTAATAAACTAATGGCTTAGTGTATGAATTGGACTTGGACTCTTAATGAGTCTTACCTCTGCCTCCGCTGGCTCATCAGAGTTGTCCTCCTCCGTGTCCAGCAGCTCCATAGCCAGACTGACAGATCCTCTGCTCTTTGTAAACATCAACTAGACCAAACACAAGCAATCAGAGGAAGTTGCCAATAAACAAAAGTAGTTTAGACAGATGGACACCATTATCATTACTCTCTGGGCTTGTTGTACCTTGAAGCAGTTCTCATCTGACATAAGCTGCTCTGCTTTGCGCTGGTAGGCCCCCTCTGCTGTAGCCCTGGACGTCTGCGTGGACAGTGTGCCCCCTGTGGCTTTATTGGCACATTCGCTCAGGTACATGTCCGTTACTCGTGCACATACATCGTCAGTGACAAGGTGCTGGAGCTGCGAAAGCAATGGGTTTAATATGCAATGGTTATGGCAACACAAATGCAATAATTGAGGTTTTAACGATCAAGCGCTATCAGTGTGGAGGGTGAAGTTTGGTAATTAATAAGTGAATTAATGTTTGAATTGAGCTAGATATAGTACAGAAGTTAAACACCCTAGAGTCTTTTTGTGCAACTATAAATCCAAATCAAGTTGTATCATCATGAATATGCTGACCTGCCGGACAATGCTCTGGATGAGTTTGTCCATGGTGAAGGCAATGTAGGCATGGATCGTAAACATTTCCCTCAGGGAGTCCTCGTATTGAGCCGGCTCCATGTTTCCATCCAAAAGATTACGCACCATTTCCAGAAACACTGAGTAATAGTCCTCTACATCAACATCCACTGCAGGTAGAAAATAATACATGTGTTAAGTTATATGGTATGCAATTACATAATATGATGCACCATGGTTTTGTAACCAAATCAATGAGGGGGGGACATGAAGATTAACACAACTAAAACCACTGGTCTTAATTTCTAACTTACTTGGCTCCTTCATCTTCAGTTGGATTGCTGGATTTTCATTTTTCTCCCTCTTGAGGCCCAACACTTCTCTTTCCCACTCTCTCTCACGGGAATCCTCCTCAATCTGCTTTTCAGCTTGCCCGTAGATTTTCAGCAAACGAGAACAGAGGATGTGATGTAGACGAAGGAAGATATACCAATAGTTGTTCACGAAGTACAGGTTATAGGCATCATCTGTGCCCCGCAGCTTCTGAGCGGCCGTGTTGCTGAAGAGGAGCTTGGACTTTGATGGACTGCTGCCTGGCAGGCCATTGTGCTTCTTGGGGCCGTCTTGATCCATCTCCATGTCTTCGTCGTCTTCTTCTTCCTCCTCCTCCTCCACATCAGAGAGCTCACCTCGCCGTGCAAACAGCAGGTCAGGGATGAAGTGGTGAATGATCTGTTTGATCTTGTACTTGTCTTCTTTCTGGATTCCCACCTGTCTTTTGACGTGGTGGATGATGAGGGCAGCAGCATCCTCCAGGATTTGGCTGTCGTCATAGGTCAGGGTCATGTGTGGGCCGCTCGGTGGCGGCGTGGCAGTTTCCTCTGATGCTCGCTCCTGGCGCTAGAGGACACAGAAAGGATTAGACTTGACTGTTTTTAAAGGCACTTTTCCTCATTAGACAGGAGCATTCTGTATGAGAGCAAAACAATCTGAAGCTGATGATCCAAGTCTCATTTACAACTTTAAAAATGTGGTAAGCACTTACTATGCCAAAAGCAATCACAGTGAGCCATATGTTTATATATATTTTTGTATGTTTTCCTTCTTTTAAACTCATGAAATTATTGTCAAGAGAAGAGTTTCCTTACGTCATCATATAGCATCTCAATTTCATTGAGCAAGGTCTTTGAGCGCAGCACTTTGGTGTCATTCTGCTTGAAGTTGATGCCTTGATGGTCGAGTGACTTCAGGTAATACTTTTCATTCTGCTCCCGCCAGATTTTGTTGAAGCCTCTCTGGGCTTCTCTCCACTCCTCCTCCTTTATTTTTAATCTGAAATAGTCACAGAAAAAGTGATGCAAAACCTTAATTGGTAAATCAAATCTTGTGAAATACGAACTGCAAAAATCCGACCAGATGCAGATAAGAAACTATAATCAGACTATGAACCTTTTCAGCACTATGGGGACAGACACAGCTGGGTTCCTCTTGAGCCCGTCGATGATGTCGTGGGCCTTGTCCCCATATATCCTCTGGATAGCTTTGCGGTGAATGACCTCTGAGGAGCCACCCATTGTGTTGTCCAGCTTGAAGCGCAGCTGCTCCTCAGCAGACATACGAGAAAGCCTCCGCTGCACCGACTCCAGGGCTCGTATCGTGGCAAGGTTGGCTTCCAACACAACATCCAGCTGAAGGGGGCACACAGGGAAATTATTGAAATGTGAGTTGTCTGGTCTGATATGTAAATCAAAAGGCTTTTCTATGGTCTTTGTGCATCATGGGGAGAAAGTCCTGCACACATTCTTATAACCCTGTAGTTTTCACTTTACAGTGTGAATGGACAGCGTATTCCTTACCTCAAAGCGCTCATCCTCACATCTGTAAATGTGCTCCTCATATTGAGTCTTCTTGGAGCTCACAAATGTAGAATCTTCTGACCATGATGGAAATGAGACCCATGTGTCATTCAGAACCTGCAATATGACAAGCAGTTTAATTAAAATAACAATAAAAATAAAAAAAACAATAGTACGAAGACTCTCGCAATGTTGTCAAACATCACAAGACACAAAAAGAAGGAAAATAAATCATAAAATCATAAAAAGAGTTTGATATTCAAGCCCCACTGATAGCAATCAACCAAACTTGAAAATGTTTCATAGTTTATTCTGAATATCAGATGTAACAGTGTAATCTATTCAGAGGTCTGCCTTGTTTTTGTGATAAACACTTGTAATGGACATATGGAGTTTAGACTAAATGTTCAATCGAACCACTAAAAAAATCTTTACAAAATGAAAACAATCTTTAGCTGCTTTGTTTAACTGCCAAATAGGATACTTAATATTGGCTATTGTCAATTTATCCACTAAAAGCTCATTTTATTGGCATTTGGCGCCTGGCGAATGGTACATTACAAACACCAACTGAACACCAAGTCCTATTCCTTAGGCTACTGTCCAAATACACGGATACCACTGTATCTGGTAGCTCTGTGATAATAAATGGCTTCTCAAGACAGAACTACTGTTAATAAGCAGACTTCCTCCAGTGACTCACCTCTCTGCACAGCGGCGTCCTTCCTGTGCACTTGGGCTGCTGGTAGCTCTTCGGCAGTGCTCTATAGCTGGACCCCAGCCTCTTGCAGGAAGCATAGTCAATCTCCATGGCGATGCCCTCTGTTGCACGTTCCTTGGGTAAACTCTCGGCGTGGCTTGACTCCCCGTGACTTGACTCTCGGTAGCCCAGGAAGTTTTTAAACCATGTAAAAAGCTCTGGGAATTTTCTGTCAATTACACCACAATGTATGTGAATTAAACAATCTTAACAGCGAGGCTACGGTCGGCTGATATTGGTAGTAAATATACAGGTCTTAAATGATGTACATGCTGAAACAGATCAATACAACCATAACAATATATTGCTTATTAAATATTGAATTCTCACTGAGGAGTAACAGAATTACTGAGTCTCCGTAGTACTCGATACCTGTTTCCAACTCAAGTGTTCTAATGTGGAGTTGATGATTTAGCTACAACACACAGCAATATGGTTATAGAGGCAATAAAACATTGCTGAACTCACCCAAGAAATGGGATGACTAACTGCACCAGCTCTGCACGAGAGATTACTTCCTGGTTGAAAATCTGAAGACACCGCAGGAAGTTGTCGTACGCCTCAGAGCTCCGAAGAGCTTTCTTCACCTGCATTTTTAGTGATGACAAAAACAAAATGAACAAACTTTCCCATGAGATGATTTCATCATATCTGTAATATTTTGGTAATCATCTTCATCTTGTATATGTATTATATAAACAATACCAAAACTGAATATAACAATGCTGACCTTCTCAAAGAACATTGTTTCAGTGCTGGTGCTATGTTTGCTCACTTCAGTCATGCCATGGTCTTTCCCCATTATCTTGGGTTTCTTCTGCAAGAGTATAAAGACATGACAAAATTAGGATTGTTGCAGGATCTCAAAAATGTTTGATTTTGAAAATGGTCCAACAGTACAATCAGCTGAATATATACAGTCAGCATTTAGTGGCACGTACCTTGACAGGCGGCGTGGCTCCCACTCCAGTAGGTCTCCTGATTGGCAGGCCGTTCTGGCTCAGCCTCTGTTTGTTGTTCAGCAAGGGTCTTTTTACTGTGCCGCCGTGATCATTACGCACCGACTCTGCCCTGTCTGGTGTAGTCTTGCCCAGTAACTGGGAAGAGAATAACACATTAGAATCTCGCTAAAGACAGGTCACATAAATGAACAGGCAGTATCAAAGGAAATGTGTGTAAATATGGTTGCCTTTTGCAGAATTTCAATATAACAACAACAACAACAACAACAGCCTGTCCTGGCAGAATAAGAAGCAGTGAGGGTACTTAATGAATGTAGGAAACAAGTGACTCAGGTGTTTAAGCAATTGTTTCAATCAATTCAATTTCTGATTTTAAATATTCATGGACTACTTTCCATAAAATCTAAGTTAGGTTAAGTAATCCTTTATTGACCGTGCTTCTTAAACCCCTGATGATATTTCATTAACATTTAACACTAGTATAAGACTATAAGCACATTTCATGCCAGAACGATGTTCAGACTTTCAGTTTTAACAGCCAGGAAATCCCACCAACCATATTACCGTATTTTCCGGACTATAAGTCGCATCAGTCAAAAAATGCCTCATGAAGAGGAAAAAACCATATATAAGTCGCACCGGACTATA